TGGAACATATATCGTATTGGTCGTAAGTGATAGGGTGCTGTAATTGGAGAGTCGACATAACTGTTTCTCTTGCACTGGAAAAATTCTTCTCTTCCTCTATTGCGTTTGGGTCGATAGCAAGGTCATCTGGGACGGTCTGGCGTACTTTGGCAGCAAGACGAGAAAAATAGGACAAAATTTGTTGTGGCTTTAGGAATTCTGAGACATTGAAAAGACGCAAGCCGTCGGGACCTCGAGCACGTCTCATGTCCTTTGCTACAAATTCTGGGTTCAACTTTCTTCCTGAGGTTTGCCCAATGTTGAACTTGTTGACCAAGTAGGTTCTCTGTTTTTCGCTAAAGTGGTCAGACTTTTTATTTTCTTTGAGAGCCCAGCCTTCTTCAGCAGGTAAATCCGAGGTCCTCATGTTACTAGACGAGAATTTTAAGGACGGTAGAACCCCAACCCCCTCTTCCAAGTGGGCTTTGTATTTGACCTTAGCAAGATCAAATAGCGATTGTTTCTCAAGAGATTTCGAGCATCTCTCAAGAGACAAATGCTTTTCAAGGGCAGAGAATCTTTGAAAAACTCGCACGCAGCCGTCTTTTGGGCAGGAATATACATCAGACTGGGTGTGGTATCCGCGGGCTGCTCGGAGACATTCATCTGCGGCTCTTTTGTTGTACGTGTCGTCACAGAAGCTTTAGACTTGTCGTCTTTAAATGGTTTAAAGTCACCCGATGAAAAACTACACTGCAGCCAAGAGTGACAATTCTCTGCAAAGAAATGAATCAATACGTAAAATGAAAGTGAAGCAATGAGTGTGTAGTTCGATTTCCTGTACTAATCTGAATGGGGCGCCCTTTGATTTCATCCGGTAGAGGTATATCAGTTTCATGTTCAAAGTCGACTAGAATATTATCTAATTCACTTTACGGCGAGATTACCTGTAGATTGCTCTTCCAGTCGAATATCTTTTCCTTTCCCGATGTCGTAGGCGCGCCACGTTGTGATGGAGTTGGAGCTGAACTCGAAAATATTGAGCTTGCTTATGCCTGGAATCTTTTGGGSGTACTCAATTTTCGTAGGAGAGATGGTTTCAATAGCAACAGCTCGAACATCTTGTATTCCTCCGTTGGAGAGCAGTGCATCCTTTAGCTGTGTGGCTGTAGTAACGTCATTCCCTTCGTTGATGTGAATCCTAACATGTGACTTGCAGGTTGCTGCCAGCCTGTCTGCAGCACCCTTCCCACCTTGAGGGTCACTGAAATCTACCCTTACGATCTTGATACCAGTGGAAGCTGTGATTTCTGGACATGATAGGAGATTGTATGCCGCATGGTAGCAACCTGCATTATCCTGGCGAAGAAAAGCTTTCTTGATCTCGTTGTGCTCTTGCTTGACAGTTTTCAACACGTGCTGCACTATAGACACGACTGCAAGGCTATCCTGACTACAAGACTGGACCACGTGAATAAACCCTTGCCATTGGAGCACTCCTTCAACACGACGATATACCACAGATATATGCCACGATATACCTCTTTTGCCGAACCAGTTGGTCTGGGACTCGCGGTACTTTTGTGGCAAAAACTTCATTGCCCAGTCATTGACAACCAAAATAGACTCATGATCAAGTGCTTCTATGATGTTTACCCGGGCCTGATCTTGATGAGATGACCGAAGCAAATGACGTTTCCAAGACTGTATTGCCAGTTTTGATGAATTTAGAAGGAAGATGGTCTCATCTTTATCTTCCTCGCTAGCAAACGTGGCTTCCTCGACCCTACTTGTAATATCTAATTAATAAGATGGACTTAAGCCCTTCGCATTGGCTGCACAACTCATCGTGTTGGTGGTATTTGCATTTTTGCTGGAAATCCTTGTCTGTGGGATCGCTGAGAGAGCGTATGATGCAGTGGTCAGCAACGGTTGATGTCTCACTGAGATGAGTCTGTTGAAACACAACCATAAATAGAAAAGACAATATAGTTAGAAAAGATTACAATAGAGGCTTAGAAAAGGCGTTTCTGTGTGTGCACAGTTAACTCGTGAAAGAAGATTAAAGCTGCATTTTGATGRYGCAAAATCCTTTGTTTTCCGGGCTCTGYAATTAAATTAGTTAGCTATTTTTCAGGGCTTTATTGGCTGCCTTCATTACTTGATCATTGAGAGTATCCATCCAAATTTTATACTTAGAATATAATACCTTTCGTCCTGTTTGTGTGTGTCTTCAAACTCGGTCTATGTTACATACCTTGAAGTCGCCTTTCAGATAAATCTTGGATGCCTTGAGAGATTCTACCACCCGACTTTCCCATTCCTTCCCGGGACCAAGTTCGCAGATATGGTGAACTAGTGTGACTAGGTCATCGAAGGCTTGAGCACCTTCCGCGGCAAAGTAGTTTAACCCTTGAAGCGATGCTCGAACACTTGCACTGCATTCAGACAAAACTCTTAGCATCGTACGCTCACTGAAAGCTTTGAATCCAGTCTCCTGGCAATACTGTAAGTACTGACGTACTATTCTCTGGGGTATAAGGGTGCGAATCACGTTAGGTACTTCAACAACTTGTCCTGAAGATAACTTTAATCGCCTTTGGCCAAATGGGAGGTCCTGGATAATATGAGGACTGGTGATAAAACAAAGAAAATGATCAAGCTGTTTCAGGTCTATCCGTATTCTTGTTGTTGTTGTCTGATGTGGCACAGGTGCACCAACCCCGTACTGCTTTCCGCGTAGGTTGGCCAGAGTATAGCGGTACTTGGTGATCCCTGGCAAATACCTTGAAATGGTCTGAAAGTCAGCTACACCTGAAAATATCGAAAGTATCTGCCTACGAGTGTCCCATCTCTCAGCGTTATTATAAGCTTCCGCCAAGGCTTCTAAGTAGTTCTTGGTTGAATGGGGCACATCATCAATTGCCAGCGCCTTGTTCATGTCAGGAGAAGCGACTAATGCTAACCAGAGAGACGATGTATCATTCGGATAAAGAGTTTTCAACACCGAGGACACAACTTCRGTAGCCTTTTTGGTATATCGCTTTTTCGTTTTCTCGCTAACTTCGTTCCATTCACTCCACGCTTTCTCAACAGGCAAAATATTGCAAGAACAAAGAAATTCATTCAGTTTATCACGTGGGTCTTCCACCTTCAAGGCTTGGTCTGCATCACTTGACGAGGCCATACTACTTGATTCTGGAGAGAGAAATGTTTCGTCATGTTCCGCTCTCACTACAAGTTTCGAAAACTGTTCGGTCAAACCCTCTGAGACATCGCTATCTGTTGAGTCCTTGACCTAAAACAAATTAGATTCCTTGTTTTATCATCTTGAGCAGGACAAAAAATTCATTTCGTTAGGACTCCTTTCATTTCCTACCTGAGAGGGGAGGGGATGGGACGGTGGTATTTGCCTAGTACTGAACCCACAAGAACTGATCTGACCCCTTCAACAATGATGGTTATGAAAATGGTCCCTCCATTTATTTTCATTCTGCCATTCTGCCAAAGTACTGTGCGAATAGAATTCTTATTTTTTCAATGATCCCCCTCCCCCCCCCAAAAACCTTGTCCCCTCTCGATGGTAAAAACAAGCGGTCCCAAAAGTAGGTCTATTATTTTTCCCTGGTAAGGTAATTGGCAATCAAAAGGGAAGCAATTCTATGCTTTTATATATGACTTATTTATTTKAATGATAAATAAATAATTTCTTACTTCGGAAAGCGTTTCTGGTGGCTTAACAGTAACTGTTGGACATACTCCTTGCGGCGCATCCTCTACGAGACTTGTAATGTACTGATTACAGCGGCGACACATTGCTTATCACAAGGAAAATAAAATATGAATAAGCTATCAATTCTTATTGGAACATTATCAGCATAAATTTAAAGATTCATAGACGCTAATCAATTAATAACTTACGAGATCCCACAGCAATTAACTTCTTCGTTTTTCTCAAGATAAATGCAGAATGCCTGCTGTTGACTCTATCACTTCCCTTTGCTTTACCAAATTTGTGCAAAGCCAATTCTTCTTCAGGGACAGTGCAATTGATCTTGCAGCTTCTCCACCGAATACCATACTCGGCTCGATGCTTTGGGCAGATTGTCATATGCATGTGAGCCTCTTCCACTGAAAAAATGCCTTGGGCATGATAACATAGAGTTTATAAGTCGTAATTTGTTCGTCTTCCTTCGATCGAATATAATAAAGTGAAATTTACTGCTCTAGCCAGAAGTAATTTAATTTCGCAATCAATCTGATCCTCTGATCGTAACTTTAACCAACCCAAGTGACCAGACACATCTTYTGTGCATTCCTTCAGCGCTATACATTCTAAGTAACCAGGATTACAACGTAGAGCCATTGAAAGCAAGGTTTTGAAACTTCGTAAAAATCGCAATCATACACATGGAAGTGAAATGTACAAGTGATCGACGTTCACGTGCCACGCTTCTCAAATTCA